AAAGTGCATTTCTGGGCTGTGTGTGGAGTATTACCGAGGAGTTCGGTTTCCTGGGATCCTTTCAGCTGCCCTCCTGCAATGCAGGGGCTGCCTAGCCTGATCTCCAGTTTCTGACTGGAGTCACCTCTGGCCAAGAGCACTGCTGACCACTGAGCTGTGAGTAATTTGCCTTTGAGAAGTAAATAGAACTTTGCCAGAAGAGAACCCAGGGGTGTGGCCAGTAGTTCTTTTCCCAGGCTCCTCCCTACCCCCACCCCCAAATGACCTTAACCTTCTTTCATAGCTGGACAGCAGCCAAGCCCAGCCTAAACAATACTCTCAACCCTATTGGCTCTTTTGCTTTACAGTCACTGCCACCCCCAAGGAGCTAAGGCCTTCCCTCCAGGCCTTTCTGTGGAGTCAAGGTTTCTAACTACTGAAAGGCAGCTGCTGAAGGAAGTGTTTTTGGAAAATGCCCATGGGTTCTGAAGCATTGGTGTTTGGCACCTGCAATTAGAGGTTGACCTGGGGTAGATGGGCATCTTCAAGTGATACGGCAAAGGTCAAAAAGGTTACTTTTGATACATGTCCAAGGCCTAATTGGTGTCTTCTCAGATGTCAGGATAGATGTAAATATCACCCAACATCCTTAGAAACTGCCAATGGGATGCTGTGTGTGTGTGTTTTGAGACAGGGTCTCTCTGTAGCCCCAGCTGTCCTGGAACTCGCTATGTAGACCAGGCTGGCCTCGAACTCACAAAGATCCACCTGCTTCTGCCTCCCAAGTGCTGGGGTTAAAGGCATGCGCCCCATGCCTGGCTGGGATGCTTTTTTATCTACAGTGAGAAGTAGTTAGCAAGGTTCTGGCAAGGCATGGCTTCCTTTCCTTTCATTGTGGGCATTAGCCTAGCCTGCTGACAGTAGCTAGCGAGGAATCAGGGCAGTATAGTTGCTTTTGTCTCAGTAGTACAGCCTCGCATCCAGTGTCCCAGATCAGCTGCTGCAATATCATAGGATGGGGGCTTTGGAAAGTTTAATACCTGAAAGAGAACTACTGAGAATAGATATATACATCGGGCTGGGGTCAGGGCCATCTCCAGATGTTGAGGAAGGAGCAACGCAAAGCAGCACCAACGAGCAATAAGTGGTCACATTATTTTGGGGAGGAAAATGCTCTATGAGACTTGCCTAACTTCCCTCCCACCATCAAAGGGAAAATGTCTTTGTACACGGAGTTATAACAGCCTATCTTTAGAGAGTGCTTTATGCCAAGTACCATAAATCCTATGAGGGCAAGGACTGTCTTGCTCAATGATGCATCCTCATTAACTGTTGCATGGTAGGCTTCTCTGAAAGAAGAGGTAGGTGCTGTTAGGTAAGTGCTGTTATCTAGGATACTTAGCACCATTCCTAAAGACTAGCCACGTAGAAATAGATGAGGGGCTGGAGAGATGGCTCATCGGTTAAGAGCACAGACTGCTCTGCAGAGGACTCAGGTTTGATTCCCAGCACCCATATGGTGGTTAACAACCATCTGTAGCTCCGCTTCCAGGGGATCTGATGCCTTCTTCTGACTTCTGCAGGCATTGCACGACATAGGTACTCTTACACACAGGTAGGTAATACACTCATACACATAAAATAAAAATATAATAAAATCATTTTTTTTAAGAAAGAGATGAAAGGGCTGGGTATGGTAGTGCATGCCTTTAATCCCAGCACTCGGGAGGCAGAGGCAGGTAGATCTCTGTGAGTTCCAGTCTGGTCTACATAGCAAGTTCCAGACCAGCTGGGGCTACAGGGAGACCCTGTCTCAAAAAGACCAAAAAGAAAAAAGAAAGAAAGGAAGGAAGAAAGAAGGAAGGAAGGAAGAGGAAGAAAGAAAAAGGAAGAAGAGAAAGAATGAAAAAATCTGGGAACAATTATAGTAACGAAGTAATTGGTAGTTGGGCAAGGTAGCTCACACCTGTAATCTTGGCACTCAGAGGGCTGAGGCAAAAAAGGATCATGAGTTTGAGGTCAGCCTGGGCTACATATCATGACCATGTCTCAATAATAATATGAAGTGATAGAACCAATTTGGAAAGCTGAGACCTGAATTCAAGGCACAATGTGACTTTGACCACTTCCCTTAGTGAGCCTTAATTTCCTTACCTATAAAATATGGTATCAAGTTAAACTGACCTATTCACCAGATCTTTATTAAAGACACACAAAGTGGAAGGCATTGTTTTGTTGTGGTTTTGTTGTTGTTTTGGGTTTTGGGTGTGTAACTGTGGTGCTAGGGATAGAATCTAGGACAAGGGCTCTATCACTGAGCTATGGTCCCTGCCCAAATCATCTTTTCAAGTGCTCTAATACATTGGTGAAAGAGTGCCCTGGTCTTCTTCCATTACATTCAGAAGGCAGCATTCCAGAAATGGAAAACAAGCATGGAAATAAAATTCATGGTCTTCTTCCATTACATTCAGAAGGCAGCATTCCAGAAATGGAAAACAAGCATGGAAATAAAATTCATGGCCAGGATAAGCAGGTAATGCTAAATACTACTAGAAAACAGAGGGATGGGATAGATAGGACAGGCTGGATACCTTTCTGAGGCAGGGAGAACCTCCGAGGAGGCGACATCTCTGAGTCCTGAATATAGATGGCTGACCAAAGGGTGGTCTGTTACGATAATGTTAAAAGCAAGGAAATGGGCCAGAGCAGTGCCAGGCAAGTTCAAGGAACGAAAATGTTGTAACCCTCTTGAATTTTAGGATTTTAGAAATAGTGACGCATTACCTGCATTGATTAACTTAGGAATATGTATTATGAAACTGTTCCCTGGCAGTGAGGGGCATTTCCTTCTTACCAGAAGTTGGGAGGTATAGTCTTTCTGGAGCCCTGGGATATGACTGTCTCACTTGCTTTCCCTAGTTCTGGCTCAGCTGGCTTTGTGTTGATGCAGGCTCCATTTTAGGTGCAGACTTTAAAAGCAAGCTGCAGAGTGCTGCCTCTTTCACCTCTCACTCAGCCTTGGAGCCTACAACTCTCCCCCCTCCCCACCTCCTTCCACCCTGCCTTCCAGTCTAAAGAGCCAGGGAGCTTGGGCTTTGACAGTACAAGATTCCCTGTCTTCCGGTTGGAGTATAAGCCAGAAAATGAACAGGAAACAGAGCGGAAGAGGAGGGGGTTGGGTAGCTGGTTAGAAAAGGAAGGAGAAATTGCAGCAAAGTGTAGCTGAAAATCTAGAAAATCTAGACAGCTGAAAAGCTACCTCTAAAGGGTGAGCTGATCAGAGAATATTCCCAACTGTCACAAGAGACCCCCTCCCACCTGGCCTTTTCTACAAGTAGATTTTTAAGGGAATTTGGTGTAAGCAGACAGAACCCTCAGAATACATGTTTTTTTTCCTTGTGAATTCACAAAGCTAGGACAATTCATTTCTCAGTGTTGTCTTTGCAGAGCGCTCTCTGAATCTCCTGGGCTTCCCGAGATTCGAGGTACAACCCTGGGCCCTAGTCACAAGTGTGCCCAGAGTGACAGGCATTGCCACTTCACTCACAGGCCCTCGGAGCTTCGAAAAATGCATTCCACCACAAAACCTAGAACGACCATGTTCAACTCCTTTTTTCCCTTTACTAACCACTAAAACGTGCCTTGTACTTTATCCACCTTACATACATACAACAAACATCCGGGAGACAGTTTAGGTCTCAGGGCCTGAAATGAGTTATAAAGATACAGCTCCCGGTCCCCACCGAACTGACAGGCTAGTTTTCCTTGCCAGGAGAGATAGCGACCATCTCTTTGTTCCCACCCACATTGGTGGCTGTTGCAGAAGATAAACCCCTCCCTCAGTCAGAGCTGTGACCAGAGGCTAACCCAGCCCCGAGCTTCTTTAGAGGGCAGATAACTGAAACCACAGACGGTTTTGGAATCCTGAGAAACCAGAAATCCACCAACGGAGAAGGATTTATCTGTTTCCTTTAAGGAGGGTGCAAAGTTGTTCTAACAGTTTCCGTTACAGGGGCACCAACTGGCCGCTCCTCCCTAACAGACGGTTGTGTTGAGTTAGCTTCCTTTTTCTTCTTTTTTTGGCGCCACTTCCTAGGACAGAAACTGCTTGGGGAAGGAGTCGTGGAGAGGGGGGTAGTTGTTCTCTGAGGTTTCCTGCATCATCCTCAAAAGCCACCCTGGGTGGGACTGAGAACCTGCAGAACAGAGAGGTCCCTGGTAGCCAGGGGCGGGGAAAGCCTGGGGGATTCCCCACTTTCTTACCCAGGCCCAACTACCGCTGCTGGCCACAGAAACCCCAAGCAGGCTTCTTTCTGGCTATTCAGAGATTATCTAAATGTGTGTCAGGCCCTGCGCTGAGCTGGAGGTTCAGGCTTCTGCGCAGAGGCCTGGGGCAGCCCCCAGAGAAGCTTCCCCCGGGCACCATGGCCCATCCCGGGAACGCAGTGGACGCTCGCGGGCTGGGACTGGGGCAAGAGCCCCGATTCTGACACCGCAGCTCCTGCGCACAAGCTGATGGCGCGGGAAGAGTTTGAGAAGAGGACCGAGGGCGAGAGGCAACTCCTAAAGTGTCACCAAGGCGGGAAGGTGTACCACACAGCTACAGCCCCAAACCCAGCGCGGACCAACATGGCCGCTGCTGAGGAAGGCGGGGCAGCTCCGAAGTCCGGGCAGGAGAGGGGCGGTGCTGCCTTCGGCCGAGCCAGTGCGCATGAGCAGGGCGCTGGGACCCGGATGTGGGTGCTAAGGTTTGAGCTCCAGTGGGGAGCTCTGGACGCGCGGACTCCTGCGCCGCAGCTCTGGAGTTCTCCAGCGAAGAAAGCTGTCAAACGCAGGCTGAGAGAAATTAGGCGGAGGCTGCAGACAAGCGAGGAACCCCGCCCCTTCGCCATTGCGGCCTGCGGCGCCGCCTCTTCCTTTGCTGCCTCCCGCCCTCGTCCGCTTCCGGCCTTCTTCCTGGCCCGGGCCTGCGGCTCCCACGGGACGAGCCCCCCGAGGTTGTGGCTCCCTTGGGGTGAGGGTCGATGCCTGGTCCTGCACCGGCACTGTGTCCGAAAAGAGCCGGCCAACACCGGCTCCCGGCCCCGCGGGCCCAGCCGAAGGCGGCTGATAGCGCGGGATGGCCCTCGAGGCCGCCGCTGGCCCTGCGGACCCTGGCCTGAGCGAATCACCCACCCACGGAGGTTGTTAGTCTTACCCTGGGTGTCCAGGGCTGCAGTTGAGGCTGTCCCAGATAGGATCCATCACCATGCGCTTCCAGCAATAGCATGCGCTGTCATTGGAGGAAGTGCTGGGCTAGGTGTTGGAGACCTGGGGTATCATCTGGCTGGAAAGGAATCTACCCACTGTCTATGTTTCTATAACGCGCTCATGACCTTGGGCATGCGGTTTCAGAAGCAAAGAAAATGAGGCTTTTAAAGTACTGGGTGTGTCAGTTGGCTCCAGTGAGACTCAGTTTTCACATCCATAAAATGGCGATGGTAATTATCCTGGTCTCTTAGTGTTTAATGATCCCTGGAGCCTCTTTATCTCACGGGAAAATGAAAGAATGGAACTAGTTGACCTATAAGCGTTCTGCCAGTTAAGAGTCAAATTTTGCAAGGGGCTTGTTGCAAGGGAGTTGGCAACTAATAGAGGGAGAGTTGACTGGCTTTCTTTTGATTTCACTTGATTTAAGTGTAAATTAAGTGTGGGTAGTATCTCCTGTGGCCGCTTAGGCCAGAACGTGACTCTGGAAAGAGGAAGAGACCACATGTCTGGTCCAGATGCAGAGGTGTGTGCGGTACTTTTCTGTACCCTGCCTCTCCTGCATGCTGAGGCCAGGGAAGAGTGAGTTCATCCTAAAACCGAGTACCCTGAGACTGGTGTCGGTGTTGCTGTGATTTCTTTGGTTTAGCGAGTCCGGAGGTGCTCTGTTGCCCTCCGAGGCTTTTCAGAAGCTTGCCTTTAAGCTGAATTTTCAGCAAGTAGCCCTGCGTGGACTTGAGGGCCCCTCCTTTCCTCCTGGCCTTCTGGTGATGGAGTAAGCGGCAGGCGCCCCCTTGTGCCAGAGAACTATTGTCGGTGTTCGCCAATTTCATTTCCTTTCTGGAGAATTTTATTTTCAGTGACTCATATGACTTTGTCATCTTGCTTTTTTAAAAAAAATATTTATTTTGGGTGCATGTGTTTGTGATGAGGGGGTGTCACAACACACACGAACGTGGAGAGGTCAACTGGTGAAACTTGGTTCTTTCCTTCCACCATATGGATCCTGAGGATCAAACTCAGATCCTCTGTCTTGGCAGCAAGCACCTTTACCGGCAGAGTCATCTTGCTTTTAACATAAGAGATGGTGGAAGGAGTATTTGGAGCAGTGACTTGGTATCCTGTACCTCCCACTGCTGCTCATTCGCAACGGGTTGAAGATGCCTGTTTATGTGCCAGGCACTGGGGCTGCAATGATGCTCTGTCCTCTTCAGCTACCTAAGTAAGCAATAGCAATAAAGACACCAGAGCAAGGGCAGTGAGCACACCATCTAGCTAGAATCAGAGTGAATTCTAAAGGTTTGGTAGGTGTTAAACTGAGAGAAGGAAGTTTTCCAGCTCTTCTTGCTAAATGTCTCCACTTAAATCCTCCCCCCTCCCCAGAGGCACAGTCTTCCACTCCATGCTGGTGAACTGTCTGTGCTCCTGCCCTCCTTTCTTCCCAGGCTGGTGTTGAAAGTTCTGTAGGAGCCCTTGCTGCTTTTAACCTATGGAATTATAAAAAATGCCTTAAAGTGCATTCCTTACTGCAGAATGGCTTTGGGTTTTTTTGTACATTGCTGCCGCTCCAACAATGAGATGGGAATAGCAGTTTTTTCCATTCCTAGTAGTAGACTCTGTCTTTGCCTTAAGTTTGTTTTAGCCATGAGAGCTGGCCGAAGTCCTGCTGAGTGGTGGTTTGCTTTTCCTTCTCCACTTAACAGAGCAGCTGAACACACATCAGAGAGCTGGCATGTGCAGTTATTACAGGCTTCTGGTATGGTTCCGTGCCCCACTTTGGGGACTCTGGTTTCGGACTTAGTTTATTATTCTGGGTACGAGGGGAAGAAAGGGCACACATCAAATAGCAGCCACAACATAGATTTGTGTGGCACTTTGCGTGTTAGTCCATTTCATTGTCGTGACAAGTTTGTGAGCTAGGCCACAAAAGGATAGTGTGCTCCCATTTTACACATGCAGAACTGAGTCTCGGTGGGGATTAAAAGAGAACTTACAAGTGACAGTCAGGAATGAGAACTTGCAAGTGACAGTCAGGAATTGAACCCAGGTCTGACTCCTATGTAGGTGCGCTCAATAAGCTTTTCGAGGTTTTCTGTGAGCTTAGCTTTCCAGCTTCATGCTTATCTATGTGGCATTTAATCTGACAAGAATACAGTGTTTCAGAGTGACACCCAGTGGTCCATCTGCCTCCAACATACTCTTTCCTCTGGGAAGTATATTTGGGAAGTAGGTCGTTATATTTGCTGTAGTAATGCTGAAGGGAGGGGTTCCTGTGAAGACGATTTTCAATAATTTGCTTTCAGCCCATGTGTGATATTTTCTTCCTTGGGTGTTGGAATTTAGAAGCCTGAGGAAGCTCAGTCCTGGTGGTGAGAGGATGTGGCCCCTAGACCCATCCCGGAAAGAGGTGCTGAGGTTTGCAGCCAGCTGCCGTATCCTGACCCTCATGCTGCAGGTCAGTCTCTGATCCTTTTCCTGAACATTCTATTGTGACATGACTGAGACAGGCATAAAGAATAAATGGTCTCCATCTCTCCCAGGTGTGTCCCATCATGTGGTTGGACCCATTCAGACACAGACTTTATAGGTGAAATGTGGGCAGGAATCTTAGTAACAGTGTCATTCTCCTGTTTTACACAAGAAGCAGCAGAGGCCCAGTCAGGTTAAATGATTTATCCAAAGCCACAAAGCAAGATAAAGGGCCAGAGTTGGACCCTAGGCTCCCTACCTCCAGAGCTAGGGCTTTCCAACAGACCTTAATTATTTAATGGTCTTACCAGCAGAGATGCTTTCAAGGTATATGTGACAGCTCAAAGTGTTGCTCAGGATTCCTTTATCAGGAGACTAAGCACTGTGTTAGTTGGTTGACTGGGAGAGAGGAGGCACTTTGCAAATCCTGAGACTGTCTATGCATAATTTACCAGTAATGCCCCCCATCCTCGACATGTCTCCCCTGTTCTCCCAAACCCTCACTGTTCTCTGTCTTTATTCTTTTGAACTCCCTTTCCCCAAGGCTGCCTTGATACATATTGTAATAAAATTTATATATA